CCAGGCCAGGTAGGTGCCCCTCTGAACGAGGCCTTGGGCTGGAGGCTGTGACACTGGATGGGACCCGATGACCTGGGCAGGCAAGGAAGGGATGACCCTTCCCGCTTGCTTCCTCCAGTGTGAGAGGGCCTTGTGTCAGGGCTGCAGGCCTCCAGTCTCTTCCTCTCTCCAGTCTGCCTGCCTCTTGTGCAAGCCCCACACCCAGTGACTGTGGCAGCTTGGGCAGGGGGTTACAAGGCACACAGGTGTGTACCATTGGTCAGAGCATGGTGGAGATTCGGGATGGATGGAAGTCGTCATCCCTTGGGGCCTGGACGGTGCTCACAGACTGAGCAAGGACTATCTGGCCCTGGCTAGATCCCCTGCAGGAGATGGTCCTCCAGGGTGGCCTTAAAAACATGGCAAATCTGGGCTGGGCAGGGCGTGATTCTTTCGCATGGGCCTCAGCCCAAGTCACAGCGCCTCTGCTCACTGAGGCTGCCCACAGCTCTGTCTCCAGCTGAGCTCTTCCCTGCCCAGCCTTCCTGCCCCAGGACTCTGAAAGGCTGCTCCTGTACCCAGCTGGGCACACCCTCCCACCCTCTGTCCCCTGAAACTGCCCATCCATCTCCTGTCTTCCCCACCTTGGGATACCTAGGGGACTACTGGCTGTGGGGTGCTGCACTTTGCTATCCCCCTCCTTCTTATCTTCTAGCAGCATTAGACATGGTCATTAGTTGCTAGAAAAAGGAAATGAAGCCCGTCAAGGTAGTGCACTCCTGTAATGCCACTGTTCTGGGCAGCTGAGGCAGGAGAGATCACAAGTTCAAGTCAAGTGTGGGCAACTTCCATGAGACCCTGTCTCAAGATTAAAATTTTTTTAAAAGGCGGATGTAGCTCAATGTGACAGCCCTGAGTTCAAACCCCAGTACTGGGGTGAGGGTGGGGGGAATGAATGAAGATCACCCAGGAGTCAGTTTATAGTTCCCATTTTAAGGAGACAGTCAGGTGTCAAAGATGTTCGATGTGTAGTCCTGAGAGCCCCCATCTGTCCCCAACACTCTCTCTTTGAGACCCCAGTGGTGCCAGGGCAGCACGCCAGCTTTGCACAGGGTGTCCCTGGCCACAGGAACTTTGCACACAGGAAGCTCTGCGAGGGCCAGCCCCAGATGCTGGCAGGACTGCCTGTGACCTGGACTCACAGGGCCTTCTCCTCCCTGGACCTGTCACCTTCCCTTGATCCTAACCTGTCAGTTCCACACTCCCCCTGCGTGGCACTGCCACCCTCCAGTACCTTCCTGTGCTTCCAGCTGGAGAAAGTAAGTCAGGGAGCCAGGGCTCTGTGGTGCTGCAGGGCAGAGCCAGTGGGCTGCTGCCAGAGGAAGTGGGAACAGCCAGGGCTCCACATCCAAGGTCACCTCATGACTCTCAGGCAGCCCTGCCTAGAGTTCCCTGGACCCCAGGCTGCCAGCTTGCTGAGTCTTCTCTCTTTTTGCTTGCCTGCCCTCCTTTCCTTCCTTCCCTCCTTCCTTCCTTCCTTCCTTCCCTCCTTCCTTCCTTCCTTCCCTCCTTCCCTCCCTCCCTCCCTCTTTCTTTTTGTATGTGTTGTTAGAGATTGAAACCAGAGTTTCCATACTGAGTTACATCCTTAGCCTATTTTTACTTTTTATTTTAAGACATGTTATCACTAAGTTGCCCAGGCTGGGCTCACATTTGCAATCCTCCTGCCTCAGCCTCCCGAAGTGCTGAGATTACAGGCATGTGCTCCTGGCAAGTGTGTCTGTCTTATCTGCTCCTTAAGGCCAGCTGTCATCACTGCTCTTGGGGATGGGATGCAGAGGACATCCAATTCTCCACTGAGCACTCAGGGCTGCCCAGCCTTGGGGCTCCACTCTGCTGTGTCTGGAAGGAGGAGATCAAGTTGCCTGCCCTGTGGCCCTCATGACTGAAGAGATAACCTGGTGCCCCATTTTAACTCTGTAAGAAAGGAAGAACCACAATCAGAATGTTTTGGAAGTTAGGGAGGGGACAGTCACTTGTGAGACTGGAAAGCAGCGCAAATGAGGTGGTCTTCTAGGTGCTGAAGGGTGGACAGGGCTCCTTGGGACAGCCAGGGGGACCACAGAGCCACTGAAGGTGCGGTTGGCATCTCTCTCACTTTGTCTTGTGGTCCCTGTGGGACAGTCTTGTCCATAATGTGGGACCTCTCGGTTCCCTGGGGACAGGATCTGCCCAGGATGGAGTGAGCCCAAGAGGTGCCAGGCTTGGCAGGAGGGAGGCCTGACAAGCAGGAGCAGGCCGAGTCCCTCGCTCTGTCTGTCCGTGCTCAGTAGGAGATGTCAGGAGCGCAGCCTTGGTGACAGGACCCCTGATGAACCCAGCCTCAGATGGCGTCAGCACAGGCCTTGCCACTCTGGGACAACCTGCAGTGTCCTGGCTCGGCTGGTGCTCCCATCCTGTCTGCCTCACCAGGGCACCTGAGGCTCCCTAGGCAGTGAGTGGCCGGCAGCCTGGCTCCTCCCTGGGGGGGTCCCAGCCAGGGCCCCAGCTCAGTGAGGTCAGGGGACGTGTATTCCAGGAATGCAGGAGGCGGGGCGGTGCCTGTGGATAAGGTCTGGATAAGCATCAGGGGTAAATATTTGCCTTGCTCCTGAGCCTGCTCTGACCACCAATGGAGGATGGGCCTAGCCCAAAGTTCATATCAGGAGATGCCTGCCCAGTGGGTCTCCCAAGCGAGGACGCCCCTCCCCCCCCCCACCGCCCCGAGAGTGTGGGGAGGGCTGGGGCCAGGTCTGCTGCCCTTTGGCTCCTCTGTGAAATGGGGCACTGGTCTGATGCAGTGTGGCCCAAGCTGGTTCAGGTCGGCTCTACAGGTCCTGCGGGCAGTGGGTGCTGCTCACGTGACAGTGGTTCTGATCCGCTCCCCCTGGCTGTGTGTGTGACCTTGAGCTCAGAGTCCCTGTCCCCTGAGCTCTCTTGCTTGGACACCTGTTTCTGCTGCCCTGGGCACAGGGTACATGTGTGCACTCATGCTGGGAAGGGTGTCCCTGCTGTGCCCAGCAGAGCACCCAGCTGCCATGTGACCCCTGTGCCCTGGCCAAAGTGCAGCACCACCCCATCAGCCTGGAGGGAAAATTAATGCTGCTCAGAAAGGAGACAGGCACAGAGAGGCCCAGTGACTCCCTCCGGTCAGGAAACAGCACAGCAGGGAATCGCGTCTCACTCTGCCCAGCCCAGTCTGGGGACTGGACCGGTGCCTCCACCATGCCCACGCCCCATTCCTCCTCAGGGATCCCCAGAGATGTGGGCAGGATGGCACGTGTGGCTGAAGGGACCATCTTGGTGCTAGGACAGCCCCACCCAAGAGGCCTCTGCTTTCCCCAAGACACAGGCTGGCCACTCACCAGCCAGCCTGTCCTCCCTTGGAGCCTCAGGGTCCTGATGGGCAACTGTGCCCTGCCCTGCCTGCCCCGGGGACTGCAGCCATCTTTGGCTGCACACTGCCCGTGCTGTGTTTACCACTGGCCTGTTCAGGCTAGGGCCAGCCAGGGACATGTGTCTCTGTGCCCCTCCCTGTGTGGCTGGCTGCCCAAGCCCACACAGGCTGTGAGCTTCAGGGGAGGGGCGGGGTGAGTGGAGTGCATCCTGCTGCCTCTGTCATCCCCCCCCCCCCCAGCTCCTGAGTCTCCCTCTGCAGAGCAGCTCCTGGGCCCAGCAGGCTTGGGGCCGGTAGCTTCTTTATCCCCACAGGGTACTCAGAGCTCCTTAGCTGTGTGACCTTAGGAAGCTAGAGAACCTCTCTGGGCCTTGTGTGCAAATTGTGGCTGCTTCTTTTCTGGGAAGAGGCCACTCTGTTCCTCTCCAGCCTGTGACACGCTGTGTGACCTCAGTCTGGGCCTCCACTTGCCCTCTGTGAAAGGAAGAATCGGAGGCATCAAGCCCAAGGGTTCTTTACGTTCAAGATGGCAGCATTTGGGGGTTGTCAGCACCCAAGGGGTAGGAGGTGAGGTCATTGCATTTCCTGGTGGCAGACACTGGGCCTTTCAAGGTACTCCATGCCCCAGCTGTGGGTCTGACCCTTACACGGTCCAACAATCTGTATAAGGGGAGTCTCTAATGCCTCTACAGTCAGGAAACTGAGGCACGGGGAAGTTTAAGAGCCATGTCCCAGCCACATGCTGTGTAAGAGCATGAAACAGGCTCTGAACCACATCCTCTTTATCGATGATGCCAGACACCAGGCCTCGTTGGGGGACCCTGGTCTCCCTGGGCACCTGGGCTGCTGCTCAGTAAGGTGGCCCCCCAGCCCCAGGTGGTACAGAAGCCAGGGGGGGCAATGGCCCATCATGGTCCCTGCAGCCTCAAGTCTTGGCCCACGCCATGGAAGCAATTCCTCCTGCTTCTCCGTCCCTCCTGGCCCCTGGAGCAGCCCCCTTGGTCTCTGGCCTTCCTTCCCCTCCCAAGCCTTCTCCCTCAGCAGCCATGCAGGTTGCCCCAAACCAGAACTTGGGTCACATGAGACCTTGGCTGCCCCCCTCCCTCCACGACTGGGCCCCACAGACACCCCCCCCCCCATCCCACTCTGAAGGCCTACCCTGGGCCGGGCTTTCTTCCCCCTGCCTTAGAATCTTCGTCTGTTCTGTCCTGTCCTGTTCTGCCTGGAATGCTGTTCCCTGCACCTTGGCTTGACTCACCCTGCCTCAGCCTTCAACTCCACTTCCCTAGAGAGCGCTCTGTGACCTTGTCTGGGGTGCAGCCCTTGCACCATTCGTTCTGTTGCGCATCACTTTTAATTTTGCATTCTTTAAATTTTATGCTTTAAATTTCTTTGCTCATTGCCTGGGTCCCCATGAGGCTGAGGACCCCAGTCACAGCACTGGGGGTTCATGACGTGTGTGTTGAGTGAATGCATGACTGCCCCTTCAGGGACAGTCTGTGGCTGGGGACTTGACCGCAGCTGGGGGCCAGGCCTGCATGGCCATCTCTGGCTCCCTTGGTCTTGACACCTGCTCTCTTTGTAGGAGGAGGATGGAGCTGGAGTGAGGGCCTCGAGCTGCTGACTGGCGCCAGGGACACTGGTGACACACAGACCACAGAGGTAGGTGTACATCGTCACCCCGACCTCAGGGCCGTGCATAGCTGGCCTCCTGACTCGAGGACAGGGTGTGGCTGAGCCGGTGTCTCGGCCCTCGTGGGTGGGGTCGGGTGCTGCCACCTCACAGGGACGTCGCTGTGTCCCAGTGGGCCCTCCTAACACCCAGGGCCTCTGTGCCCTGGTCTGTCTCTGGTGTAGCTGCTGGGAGTATACCCAGGAGAGGGTGGGGCCTGCCCATGCCACCCTGAGTTCATGGGTACATGGGCCACCACACTGAGCCAGGCAGAGAGCGGGGTGGTACGGTCGCCACCGTGGGTCACAGATGCCGAGGTGGCACTACAGGGGTAAATTCTGACTCTGGTGCTTGTCTGCTGTGACGTTGTGCAATTGCTCTGGGCCTCAGTTTACCTGTCTGTCAGTGGGGATGGGTGCAGTGCCTGCCCTGCTGCTGTGTTGAGGGAACTGCCCACCTGGAACACAGCAGTCTTCAGAGTGTGTCAGCCCTCCTGTTCCCCCCGACTCTGGCCACACCGTCCCCTTTCCCTGGAGCACCCACTGCCCAGAGAGACAAGAAGTGGGCCCTGGCCTGAGCAGGGGACCCAGACCCTTCGTGAGCTCCTGAGATTGGCGGGGGCCAGCAAGTCCTGAGGCTGAGCCTCGCATGCGGCCTCTAGCCTGGACACCAGTCTTCATCACGGGGAGCCATTGGAGGGTTGATCGCACTTAGTCATGTGCCAGATGCAACCTGTGTGGCCCTCAACCCACAGAAGAGGATTCACACAGATGGGCACTCAGCCGAGGCCTCTTTGTCCCAGGGCACCTTGGCACTGGGCCAGCAGGAGAGCAAGGACCCCCCACCCCATCTTAGCACGGAGGCCTCACCTGTGGCCGAGACACTCTAGACAGCCCAGTGTCCCCAAGGGTGGTGGCAGAACTGAGCTGCTGTCGCTCCGGAACCTGGGTGCCAGACTCTGTCTACTTCCTGCCGCCAGAATCCCAGCTCCCTGTGTGTTTGTCCCTTGGGCCAGTCCCTTCCTTGCTGTAGGATGTCATCCAAAAATGAGGACAATTGTGACACCGTTGCAGATGGGCCATTGTGAGTGACAGTGCTCAAGAAACCGTGAATACTTTGTTTTATTTTTACGGGGGTTTTTTTGAGACTTAGTATTGTTATGTAGCCCAGGCTGGCTTTGAATTTGCTGTTCTCCCGTCTGTCTCCCAAGCGCTGGAATTATCGGCATGGACTACTACTCCCAGCTCTGGGAATACTTTTTTAATCATACAACATCTTGCTGTGCATGGTGGCCACACACCTGTAATCCCAGCACTTGGGAGGCTGAGGCAGGAGGATTGCAGTGAGTTCAAGGCCAGCCTGGGCTTTTTCTAGAGGCTTGATGTGGCTAAGAAATCCATTAAGCTATAAGTGGCAGGGGTGGGGATTTGAACTGAGGTCTTCAAAACTATGCAGCCAGAATGCCTCAGAGATGAGGGTCGGGGCCACAGGGCAGTCACTTGCTCAGCCCCTAAGCCTGCTGCTCCCTGGACCCAGAGGGTGCCCCCTAAGGTTGGCAGTGAGCCCTTCCCCGAGGGCCTTCTCCAATTCCATTCTGCTAGGGGAACCCGCTGTTAACTGTCAGGTAACCTTTGAAATTCTCCTTCACGGTGGGTTCTCTTTTCGGATGTTTTTCAAGGTAATTCATTCCCTTTCCAGAAATTGCCAGTGGAGGAGCATGAGGCAGCTGGTAATTAATCATAAGAGCGGCTTCAAGTTTATTCTTTTTTTAAAAAAAAAAGTGAGGAACAGAAAGCCTTGGTGGAAGAAGAAAAAACTGCTCCAAGGCAGAGGTGGTAATCAATACCTCCATGTCCTAGAAACGGCTGGGCTGGGGATGGCAGAGTGGGGACGCCTCCCTTCCTCCCAGACCTGGCAGATGGTCACCGTGGGCCGCAGTGTGAGGCTCTGATCCTGACCCTTGGCTCCCTGTGTGACTCTGGGAAGCCACTGCTTCTCCTGTGTCCCAGGTACCCGTCCTTGTTGGAGAAGATGGTACAGCCTATGGCTCAGTGACAGCCAGGGCAGTGGGACACTGAAAAGACAGCCTGGCCTGGGGGACCTTGGCCAGGGGAGCTCTGTGCCCACGGTGGCAACCACACTGTCCCCCTGGTGTTTTCAAATTCAGCTCTCCGCGAGACCGAGCTGTTGAAGTTGATTATTGTTTATGTTTTTAAAAGCTGCTCCTTGGATGATATGAGTTCCTTGTTGCTAAATGTGCTTGAGGTGGAGTTGGGTTTGCCCAGGACACTTGGCCATTTTTTTTTTTTTTTTTGGTACCAGCGATCAAACGCAGGACCTTGCGCTTTCAAGGCAGGCACAGTGCCACTGAGCTAAATCCCCAGCCCTGCCCAGGTCACTTGGGCAGCAGACTGGCCAGGGCCCTGGAACATCCCTGAGTCAGAGAGAGAAAGAGACTTGCTGAGATGGACAAGGGGGAGGCTGGGCTAGCAGAGGGAACCCTGTCATCTCCAAGCCCCTTCCCTGAGGCCCAGGGGAGCCCCACTGGAGCGAGCCCCGCCCCTGCCCCGGGGATGCAGTGTTGGGGGCCTAGCTGGCTGGGTGAGGCCCCCCGCTGCCCCCAAGGGTGTCCCCCCTCTGGCCCTGCCGTGGGCCCAGTTCTCTCCCCAGAGGCCCAGCACAGTGTCCCAGCCCCCTCAGGGGCCCAAGGAGGAGCTGGGGTTTGGGAAGGGGAGCAGGGGCATGGGTGGGTTGTGCGGGCTGTGGTGCAGTGGGGAGGCTGTGTGCCCATGCATGAGCAGCCGAGGAGCAGGGAGACCCACGTGTGCCCAGACCCCCATGGGAAGCTTTCTGTTGAGACCCTCATGCCAGCCCACATTCACACTGGCCAGGGTGGCCCCGCTGCGCATGAGGGACCCACTGAAGGGCAGCATTGGGACATCCAGGCCGCAGAGCTCTGGCCTTCCCTTCCCAGCAGCCAGTCCTGCTGTGGACTCCTGAGTCCCAAGTCTGCCCGGGCCTCTGCATGAGTGTGCATGAGTGTGTGTGCGTGTGCATGAGTGTGCGTCTCTGGGCTCTTGCGGGGGTGGGGAGTGTTCTCCATCTCTCTGCCTCTCCCTGTCCCTAGCTTTGTTTCTCTGTGGCCCACAGCATCCCCTCTCACTCTGTGGTCACCCTCCCCTGATGTCCCCCTGAGCCCAGCACCTCCACACCTCCTTCAGATCCTCCTGCCAGGCCACCCCACAGGGTATCTGCTCTGTGTCACCGCCTCCTGTCATCTCCAGGCTGAGTAGAAGAGAGACACCCACCCGGCTCCCACCCTGCCACCCGCTGGAGGTGTCCAGGCAGCATCCTGCACTGTAAGCTGCTCAGAGGCTACACTCAGAGACCTGGGCGCCTCAGGATGGAAATGGCACTCCCAGCTCAGTGGCAGGCTCGGCACTCACCCATGGCTGCCCAGCCGCCCAGAGTCGGGGGCCTGTGTGGGGGGCTGCTGCAAATCTGGCATTTTCCCCAGCAGTAATGAAATTCCTGCTATAATTAGAAGTGAGGTGTCAGGAGCAGCAGCCTGCAGGGAGGGTGGGTGAGCTCACAAATAAACACTGCCCCCCCAGGGGAGAGTGCACTGGAGAAGGGGTCCTGGGGCGTCTCAGTGACATGGATGCCCCCGCAGGAGCTCCCTCCATCCCATCCCCCTCCGTGGGGTGGGGTCAGCGTCGTCCTCGCAGTGCCTCCCATGTGCCTGGCTAGCTCAGCCTGGCCTGAGAGGCCGCTGTCTTCCAGCCAGGGACCCCTTTCTTGGCCACATCATTTGCCAGCCTCTGCCTGTGCCCTGGGCTGCAGCTCCACCACCCTCTCTCCCCCTTGAGCCTTCATGTCCCTATCAACACCCCTGTCGCCAGGTGCTCCATGGTCCCGACGCCTGCCCCAAGCCACGATCCCTACTTGTAACAGCACAGCTCTACCCCCAGGGCCCTGAGCCCCGGCTCCCTGGAAGCCTCCCCTAGACACCTGGCCCTTCCTTCCCGCATTCTCCTCTCTCTGCCCTCCATGCTGATCGGGTGGCCGTGGCTGCTTCTTCTTGATTATACATCAGAATGATGATCTATTGGATACACCGCCGTTTTTACATCTCGTGTGTGACGTGCACACTGAATCTTCACATCTTCTGTTGCCGCACTGCCCCACGGTGGCTCCTAACTACGTAGTGGATGGTCTAGTCTCGGAGGGGTCAGCTTCTTCACTTTGCAGGTGGGGAAACTGAGGCCGGGGGAAGCCAGTGCTGTGGGGAACAGCTTGCTGAGCACATGCTGTCCTTGGAGGCCAGGATCCCCTAGCCTGCAGCACAGGAAACAGCCTCAGACCAAGACAGCCACCACAGGTAGTGTCCCATGGGGACCAGTCCTGGCTTCCAGACAGTGAGCACTCATGGAGACAGCGGCTCAGAGGGTGAGAGCCACCCCAGGAAAGCAGGACACCCTCCCTTGACAGCCAGGACTCAGTCTGAGTTGTGGAGGTGCCCAGAGGGGTGGTCCCATTGAACCTGGTTTCCGGGTGTGGAAGACGCTGGCTTCAAGATCAGGAAGGGGAGACAGGAATTCCTTCCTGGAGGTGGGCTGCCCATTCTGGCCAGCCTGGGTGTTCTCTAGAGGTGAGGTGTCTCCCTGGCCCCTCCAGAGCCTCCGCCCTCCTGAGCAGATTTGCCTCTTTGTTCCCAGGAGCCCCCCGGGCTGTACTTGGCTGCTCGCTCCATTTCTGTCCATTCCTCTTGTTTGCCTCCGTGCAGGCAGTGTGGCAGGGAGTCAGGGAGGGGTCAGGACCCAGGCAATTCTCCTTCCATGCGGACAGCCACTGCCTGCCAAGAGTTGCTCCATGAGGGCCTTGCTTCCTGTCCCGGCCCAGGGAGACTGCTGTCCCCTTCTGTGGCCCCTCCAACCCCAGGCCTGGCCTTGCTTTGCAAGCCCTGCTGGACTGTAGCTCCAAAAAGGCT